TGAGGCCAGGATTTTCTCTCTGCGCTTCTCCTGGTGCCCCCAGTGTTCAGGCAAGCTTTCTGAAGTACAGCACATAGTCTCACTATATAGCCTGCATCTTCAGCTTTCATGTGCTTAGCACCCTGCATTTGAATCAATAAAGCCATCAACAAACCACCTAAGTACAGTAAAACTGAACTGAATCAATGGGATATACTTCTTAACTGTATGTACATTTCTAAATTCTAATATAAAGGCTCAAATTTCCAGTTACATATTTCATTCTCTGAATGGTCTGAGTAGTTTTTTTGTATCTTTCTGATCATCACAATCTGACACACACCCTATTTATTCAAGGATATATTTTTCCCATGACCTTACAGACTCACTTCTCTGACATGGGGAGCTCATGGAAGGAAGTTCGTTGGAAGTTAAACATAAGGAAGTACAGTCAAGCCTATTTACCTTGTGGGGGGGGAAAACAAGCCCAACAGTGAAGAATTACTATATAAAAAAAAAATAATAATAATTTGAGCCTCTCTGCAGCCTCATAAAAAACTTGCAGATAGCTTGTGATTCTGCATGGGCAGATGTCCTCTCTCCTGTGCTTTGTCTAGTAAGAGGCCTTTTGGACTTAAGCAAAATAATAATAATAAAAAAAAAGTGAATGAAGCACAATTTCCATGGGGGCTTGGAAACAGATGTAACATCATTTGCAGTAAGCCTTTGTACTGTGAATGGAAAATTTTCTAGTTTACACAAAACTTGGCTATTATTTTCTTTGTGGTGCAAACTTGGGCCAAATATTTTCTGCTGTATTAAAGATGCAAACAATCAGTTTTACCTTCTGTCCAGTACAGCCGCGCACAAAAGCTTCAGAAGCTGCAGTAAAATGCCTGATATTAATCTTTCCATGAACCCAAAACAGATATTAGAAAAAAAGAATATGGGCTTCCTTTTTACTTGTTCTCCTCAGAAAGTGCAAACAGCTTAGAAAACATCTCCTGTTTACGTGTAATGTTACAGACTAGTAGACATCCAGAACATTGGCAGTTGTGTCCAATGTTAATGGGAGCTTAACTAACTCTTAATATTAGATCAATTAGATACTAACTCCTGGTTTTCCATATACCATAAGAGGGAGCTTTCTAGCTCAGGAGCATGTATTCACAAATTAATTAATTACAGATAGCTTTCCCAGCTATAAGTAAATTCCCAACAAAGTACACTTACAAGTCCAAAACCATGGCAATGATTTGTGACCTGACAACTGGTTTTGGAGACTAGAGCACCTTCATCTCACTATGTTCTCAAGACCAGACAGATTAACAACCAAGAAAACGTGTAGCAGTGCCACAGCAAAGAACAGCACCCAAAGCAGCTCTTATGTGAACATTTTTTCTCCTCACATTGCTTACTGAAGCATTCTTTTCTGCATATTCTAAAGAGAAGGGAAGAGAAACCATCTCCGTGTTTTATGATAATGCAGGACTTGCTTTTTACTTGTTTACAAGCTCTTTTGCTAAGCTGAACCTTGTCATGGCCACACATCTCAAGTGCAAATCAGTTACTCAGATTTGTTCTTCTCCAGATGCAGGGAGTTCTGCCCTGCTCTGCAAGTACTCATGTCCTTTAAGTGGATCATTTGCCTGTACATTACCAGAGCAATTCAAACTTTAAGCTAAATCTGGCAGCAAAGTCTAACACATGCATAAAGAACAACAGAACTTTTGGTGAAAACTGACGTCCTTTTTTGTTTGCAGTGCAGCCAAATGCTTTATAAATTAGACCATTCTGCCACCACAGAAACATCCAGCATCTGATTTACCTACTATTTTAGGCATATCATTGTAGCAGATTTGTCAGTTCAGTTAGTCTGTGTTTGCATTAAAGGTAACTACACCACTCATATTTTAGCTATGCTCGCTTTACCTTCACTGCATATATATAGAACTATAGCACTCTTTGTGAAAATTAAGCTGGTATCATGGCACAGTAGGTAAGACAAATTATCTCACCTTTACAGCTACAAAAAGTCCATTGTTGCAGCACACAAGACAATAAAAATGTACCAGTGCTCTGATCTAAAATGGTCTGGAAAAAGCTGTTTGCATGCCCATCTGTTCATCTACAGTAACTGGGTGCTGTGTGGTAATGCATGCCCCTTTCCACTCCTGGACATGCCCTCTAAAGCAAAGAACTTTTTTGCAGGAGATTCACGTGGATCTCCAATCTCTAGGGCTGAAGTATGGGTACAGTTTGGGACTGTATTTGTGCAGAAGATTTGAGTTGTCCTTAACTGAGGTAACAAACACAGTAACACCACCAAACACCCACTGAAGAATCAGTGCAAAGCAGTTGGCTGATAAGAAACTGAACTAGTCCTGCCCTAGGAATCCTGAGAGAGGCATTGTTTAAGGTAAGGAACTGCTTAATAAGGAACTGGTCTTTAGCACAGATTTCATCATAGGCTGACTGACTGAAGATTTCTTTTTACAAATTCACACACAATTCAAAATGTCACGTTGATTTTATACCTGCCTGGACAAGTGAGATTACACAGCAAGTCAATCACCCTGCTTTTCAGATGCATTTCCCCTTTTACATCTTGAAAATTCTACTCACTCACTTGTAGATCATGCAAAGAGGAAACAGCATGACTCAGCTCCACACTACAATGGCTGGAGGAGATCCAGACCTAGCAATCCTTTGGGCTTTCCTTACCAAAATACAAGTCTGCAGCTTGGATAATGCAAGGCATCCAGTGTTTGTATAAGAAATGTTAGGTGGGCAGCATGCCAGCTGCAGTCCTTAAGCAATGTTCTAGTTCTTTACATTGATGGAAAATTATCTTCTGTAGAGTTAGGAAGGGAATAAAAAAAAGCCAAAGGGCTCTGATCTTAAACAGTGCCTACGGAAGACAAAATGCTAAAAAGGAACAGCCTCCTGAACTGTATTCTGTAGACATGAATTTACATGGAAATCTAGTGGTAGATAACTTACTATTTAGCAAGTTTCACATCATCCCATACTGGCAAAATTTTTTGTATAATCTGTAAATTACAGAAGTCATAACAGAGGCATAGGAAAGCTACTGACATTATGGAATCCAGGAACTCTGAGGAAGTTTCAAGAGCCCTGAGTCCCAGTGCTTTGTCTAAGCCACTGGAAAATAGTACTCTAAAAATTAGCTACTCTAAAAATTCAGCGTCATCTAGAAATTATTCCTGATCCTCTACCATTTTGCTAACACCTGATCCACAGACATTTTTCATAAAGAGCATCCACATGGTGAGTTATTGCAGAGTAAACAACGCACTGTAAACACACGTCACTTCATTGCGTAAACAAGCTCTGAGCAACATTCAGCAAGAACTTCACTTCGGTTCACTCCCTGAATATACAACAAAGTTAGACAATTTGATGGTTATCTCATAGCAATCTAACCTCAGAGATAGAGACCTCAAATCTAAATCTAGCCCCTGCCCTGAAGCTCTGGGCAATGGGATGGATCTGTCTTTTCAGGCACTGCATTCACTGGGGAAAATCATGTATCAGTCATTACTAACATAAATATGTGTAATGAAAGTAATAAAGAGGCATGATCCAAGCTACTTCTCCGAAATGGCCCTCACCTTCCTACAGAGCAACCCAAAGTACTACTTGAAAAAACAGTCCTCTGGACCGTGTATGCTGGGGGATGACTGAGCAGTATCAGGAAACTTGCATCACATACTAACCAAACTCATGTTGCGTTAGAGGATGAAAGGCCCCTAGGCTTCTGGGCTCTGTGTTAATTTCAAAAAATAGTTCATTGAGCAGACTTTATACTTAGCAAAGCTTAGCAGCTTTTTTCCTTATCCCTCCCCAAAATGTTTTGGGCATTGTCGTATGATTGTACTACAAAACTCAAAGTTATCCAAAAACAGTTCATGAGAAGTGAATGGAAACATCTCTTTTCATTCCAAAGGAAAAACAACTCCTATGCTGTTTTCCTAAGTGAGCTTAAAACTTGGAGAGAAACCTAAAGCTAAAAAAAGCAAAGAACTCAAGAAGATTCATATTCTGGACTGTGGTTTCTGTTGCCTTAGCTTGAGGGAAAATATGTTCATGGGAAAAGGACCTGCCTAGAGCCAGTTTTTTCTCCAACGTTGACTTTTCTAGTTGGCATGGCTTTAAATCACTACGTTGCTATTAAAATTATTTCTTCATAAATAAAAATATTCTTCATGGATTGTATGACAGTTGTTTACAATTGAAACAACCACTTGTACTGTGTTTCTTAGCAATGAGTATCCAGTTTGGCTCCTATCAACCCCAGACAGACCATCATCGGGCAGTTTAAGAGGCCTTTACAATGTTAGTTCTGAGTTTCACTGATTCTAAGTGTTAAATCACCTTCCCAGAAGAGAGTTCCTGAATTAATGCCAAAACAAAGAAGTGTCAGCTTTATTACCTACCTTTGTATCTGCACACAACTAAAGAAAACAACATCACACCTTAGAAAAACAGAAATCTTGCATGGCTTAGTTTGAAAGAATCTTGCTGTCATGTTATTATGGACTGTCTTTAATACTGCAATTCACTTTTGTCTTTAGCCAGGACTAAACCAGATTATAAATATTAAGGAATTCCACACTAACCCTGTAAAGACTAGCCTACAGACAAACCTGCCACAGGCAATTCAGAAAACTCTAATTGTCTAACACTGCAACAAGTGTAACAAAACGTGATGGTGCTGCCGGAACACACTGTGCCAGATCCCAACAAGTGTGGTTACCATTATTCTAAATGCTGTATCAACAGAGCTTAACCTAGGGATTATGATCCCCACACATGAATTGTCTTCTGCATTAATTAATTTATGTTAAGAGTTAACAAAATTATCTAGTATGGCCTTTTTTGAGATTCCTCAAGGCTTTTTAGAATGACACAGTATGCTTTCACTGAACTTTTAAAGTGAACTTTACTTCCTATTTAAAAACTGCAATGAAATTATGCTATAAATGAAAACTGCTTACCTGTGATCAACAACCATTACATCAGAAGCAGGAATCCCCAGAAGAAAACAACTCTGTTCCAGTTCTTTCTTACGAATCTCTCCTTGATTGTAGTAATTTCCTGAAAATAGCAAAGAGGGCAACACTAATTTAGTTTAGGTGAACTTTGAATTAATTCCTCTTTTCTTTCTCAAAGTATTAAGCACGAGCATCACACATTAAAGGGCATCATTTGAAGAACAGATACATTGCAGGGAACAAACTCCAGAGCTTTTACCTGAGCAACAGCCAGCTTAGCTCAGGGTAAAATGCTGAGGCAAAGTTCTGCCCACCTTAACTACATTCTTCACATTTATGCACAGGTGGAATAACCTGCTTGGGAAACTGCTTCCAACCACCTGTTTGATTAGCAAACATCTTATTCCTTGAAACATCACAATTACCAGCTCTTCTGAGTTTTTTGTTTGGGCTTTGGGGTTTTTTTTTGTTATTTGTTATTAACATTGTTAATTTTTTAGCAAGATTTAATATACTCTTTTGGTGAATTCCATAAGCTGACCATGCTTTGTGGGGGGGGGGGAAAAAAAAAAAAAAAAAAAAAAAAAAAGGAGTCTTCTAATATGCATATATCCAGACTAACTGCTTACACATTTTCTGAATGGAAGTCACCGATCTACTACAAAACAATCAAGCAAGATCTTTTCATGAACATAGGAGAAACTGCCTTTGCAGTGAGGTGACTGAAAGTTGTTACCGCTGGCAAATTTCCAGGCTGTCTCTGTGAAAGAGGTCAAAAAAGTGGACTAAGATCCCACTAAAAACAAGTATTCACAAGAATTAGTAATAATTAATCTCCTTAGGAAGGGCCAAAGAGTCACTCCTCCTTCACTAGTACACATGCTGCTGTGAACTCCCTCCTGTACTCTGAACAGCACAGGCCTGCAAAGCCAAGCTGAACAGCAAGTTCAAAGTACTTGGAACAGAATTGTTGCAATAACACATGGAAAGCCCGTCCCACGGGGTATTCTTCAAGTGATTAAAGTTTATAATATATTCTGGGCCACTTCTAATGAGCAGTAATTGTCATGTAACGCTAGCACACCGCAATAGAATACAGTGATGGAACTAAAAGGATTTGAAGAAATGAGGAATTCCATCATAACAATCTCTGTTTTGAGACAAAGATTTCTCAGAAGTCTTCATCATTCACAGAGGAAATTCAGGCAGAAACTAATATGGTAAGATTAGAAAGAACTTACAAAACCAAAAAAGAGAGAAAACCCAATTTAGATAAGGCATTTGGGAAAAGTTGTAATAGACTGAGACCAACAACTGGCAGGGAAACGGAATCCATTATCTTAAAACACTGCCTCCTTCTTCACTGAATTATTTTCTTCTCATCTTGCCCTGACATTCCCTCATTTTTTTCTTGGCATCAGCCACGCAAAGTTCATGCCAGAGCTGCCATGGCCCCTTCCAGAATGTTGCCCTGTGCAGGGCAGTACTTGCAAATCAATTTTAACTTTGAAGCAATAAAATTAAAAAAATACAACTGAGTATTAATGTATGATACAAGCCTGTAGTCAGCTGTCTTGAATTACACTAGAACTTTTTATTGTTGTGGGTGTGAGTCATCTAAACCTAGCATTTCTCTGGAGCAGTGTTGCAATCCAAGCCTAGCAACTAGCAAGCTTTGTAAAATTTTCAAAGAGGGAAGGAGTAACTAGAAAAAAAAAAAACCAAACCAAAACACCAAACCAAAAACCTCTTCTTGCAGAGTTTGAGTGAATGGCTTTAGGAGACTATGACAATTATTATCTGTGGGTTTGCCCAGGAACACATCTTGGTAGTCTGCAGCTTAGATGGCAAGTTCCAGCTTCAGCAGAATTAATTTAAGTTACTAATTACCTTCACTAGATGTATATGAGTACAGCAGGACTTACTTTAGACTGATTTTTTGCAAGGCCATTAACGACACCAGTTGTTTAAGATAACATATCTTTTGCTGCAATGCAGTGTAATAGCTGACTGCAGGTGATGTTTTACCCAAATAGCACCACTGTTCTCAAAACACCTAACTCTACTGAACCCAATGCAACAGATCCATGTTCCACAGCTTGGGAAACGTGTCAGGACATCAGGAATATATAAATGCTAACAAGAAAAAAATGGGCAGCTATTGAGAGCAAAAACAGCTGAATAGCTGATGCTGCTGGACCTTATCCATGGAGCACTCACAATAGAGTCAGCTACTACAGAGAGCAAAGCACATTTATACTGAGTTATTATTTCAGCTGAAGATTATTCAGTGCGGAAAAGACTGATTTTTTTTTTTTTCCACAGTGCTGTAATTCTAATTAATTTCTAAATCATTTTGATTGATATCTGAAAACTGCAAGTACGATGGTTTCTAAGTAATGATTTTTGTCTCAGTGTTACAATTTGCAGTCTTTGATCAACTCACTTGCCATCATCAATCATACAAACAATGAGAGGATGAACCATCTGAATTGCCCAAAAGACAAGAGAAATTTTTCTGTGCCCAAAAGGCACAGAAAAATCTATCAGCTCAGTGAATGTACTCTCCTATGTGGGCTGCTAGTTCCATTATGAAGACGTGCAAGAAAGTACGCAGAAGGCGGTGTCAAATACACTGAATGTTTCACGTCACTGAATCGGGAGTAAAGAAAAAAGAAATTTTAACAAAATAAACAGAAACACAACGCTTCTTTGGAAAGTTCTCTAATAGCAGGAGTGTATTAGTCCCCAAAACTGAAATGGCAGAGTTGCACTACAGTAATCTCTCCATAGCTGTGAAAAAGCCAAATGCTATCCGCAGACCTTTGTCCCTCAGCAAAGACAACTGAAAGCTCTGCACTAAATCTCGAATGGGAGGTATAGAGTGATCAGTAAAGCCTTTACACCACTGGGCTTCAACAATAGCTTAATCCCTGCCTTCTCACCTAGATGGTGTTACTACAGAAAGCTTTGAAAAAAAAGCACAGAAAAGCTGGCAGCATTGAAAGCTGGAGCTTTCAAAACCACAGAGGGCCCTTTTCCCAAATCTAAGTAGCCGTCAGTGTAAGATCTAAATGTTTGTACTCTAAGATACTCCTCTCAGCAAACATGAATAAAAAAATCTTCGTTTTTCACCACCAGCTCATGGATCCTGGTATAGCAGTATGGTCCAAAAGATCAATTAAAATGAGGTTATTTCTTATGCACAAAAAAAAAAATGAACAATGTGATAACTCATTAGGTATCAGTCCTGCAGGGAAAAAAAAAAAAAATCTGGATCACGAGAAGAACACACGACAAGAGCATCACATGCTATGAAAAATCCTTGTCCCTGGGAAATAGTGGAGCCTGTAAGAGTCTTTCTGTTCTATTCAGACCCAGAAAGACCTCAGCTTCCAGTTTTTGATTGCTGCATTTCAAAAAAAATGAGAACCATCTGGAAGAGTCCAAAGGAGAGCAATGAGAATGATCAGAGGCTTAAGAAACATGATCTACGAGGAAAGATTGCAAGAAATGGGGTTGTTTAGTCTGGAGAAGATAAGACAGAAGAGGCAGATAACAGTCTTATAATATGTAAGAGGCTGCTACAAAGGGATACTCTGATTTCCATGTTCATGACAGATAAGAAAAATAAACAAACAAGCTTAAATTACACCAGTGCTTCAAGAAAAAAAGTGATTTGAAGAAAAGCTGATGCAGCACTGGCTGAGGAACCTCCCTGGAAGTTCTGAAGAACAAACTAGACATTTGTCTGCAGCAAATGAAGACACATCGATGCTGCCTTCGGGTCGACTGATGGACAACATGACCCCAAACGGTTCCCTTCAGGCCCGTTTTTCCATGATTGGACTGTTACACAACTGTTATTTTTAGATGTGTTACAATGAATGCATCATTATGACACTAAAACTGGATCATCCAAGGAAGTCCTCTACAAGACAACAGAATTATACGGAGATGCCAAAAGGCTGTGCTAAACAGCGCCTTTTTACAACTTAATTAACGCTTTTGCCCAGTTTGAAAGTACCTCAGTGCTGCAACAGGAGATTGGACTGCGAACCCCCTGCACAAGATTCAGACATAGAGGGAGATTTTGGGTCTGCTGAAACTCTGCAGAAAGCAATATTCTGACCAAAACCACCCACACGCGGCAGCCCTGCTGGGCGTGCAGGATGTTACGGCAGCGCACTGTGACCCAGAACCACGCCACCAAACCGCGGGTGGATGGCAGAGCACCTCCTCCACTGCCCGGGTATTTCACAGCGGTGCGACGCCATCACGGCAGCACAGGCCTAGAGGGCCCTGAGGTTCAGCACAGCAATGACATCATGGGTGGCATCATGGTGACGTCACAGCTGAGTGGGGCCCCCCCTCAGGGTACAGACACCGCTCGCTGCTCCGAGGCACTGACACGTCGTCATAGCCCGGGGCTGACGTCAGAGCAAGAGGCCACACATGGGAAGACATCACGGCAACCTTCCCGTGAGGCGACGGGCGGGAAGCCCGGCCTCCAGGGTCGGCCGCGGT